AAAAAAAAAAAAAAAAAAAAATCAATGAACAGATTCATTTAAGTGTTTCAAAACTTGTGCATGGGCAAATCAGCATTAATTATATTGACATATCAAAATGGAAGAGAAAAACATGAAGTTTTGCTCGTGTGCTCTCTTGAAAAGTAGCAAGACTTTTGTTTAATAGAGTAAAGTAAGATCCAACGGAGACAACAAAATAGATGAACTACAAAGCAGACAAAATCAGACCACTTTCTCAAGAGCAACTCAATAATACTCTCAAGCTTATCGATTCTCAGAAAAGCAAAAAGAGGATCCAAAGGAACCTTATTGACAAACGTAGAAATACAGAGAATTGCATACCAAAAATCATCATAATGTCTCTCAATACAGGTGACATCAGAAGCCGTGATAGCTACTAGAGCTCCACATCTGTGGGCCTCCTCACACGCCCTTGCAATTGTTTTAATTGTGTCGGGAAATTCAAATAAGTATCCTTCGACAATCAATATACTTGTTTTGGATATTAAGCTCGCCAAGCTAGGACAATAGTTCACACGTGAAGATGTGCCCTAAGTTAATCAGAAAAATAAATTTATGAGCACAAATGTAGAGAAGTAACATTAGTCAGAATAAGAATTTACAATTTCCTTTTTGCATGATAAAGATGATTCAACGAATGATAATTAACATGTTGCTGACTACAACTATGATATGATGATGACAACAGCAATAAAATCAATGCCATGTTGATGAGCGTCAGACCTGGTATGAGAGCATGGTCCTTTGAGCGTCCGGAGTTGTGAGAACAATGACGGTTCCAGTTGTTCCATCCTGCACCGGTGTTGAGAGGAACTTCACATTTGCTCTCCAGAGCTTCGAACTGTGTAAAAAAAAAAAAAAAAGTTACACAAGTCACAAATTATAGATCCAACACAAGCAATGACAGACAAAATCAGTAAAGCATATAATATGTGCTTGTCTTAAGAACGCCTATACCAAGTAACTGAAAGCAGAGAGAACCTGAAGAATATGAAAACAGAATATATATAAGGTAATGGGATGGAAAATAAAGTGTACCGGTAGAATCCACCAAGCGGATCACTTCCAACACTGCCTGTCATTGCAATATTGAGTGAAGGCCCTCCAATGGTTTGACCACTAAGCCTTGCCAAGGCCACCAATGTGTTAGATAGAGAACCACCAGCAGCAGCTTTATAGCTGCATCCATCCATGGCCCGTAAAACTTTACCCCTCTCTTCATGATTCACTACTTTCCTTGTTCCCTTGTTCAACCCAAGTCTAGCAAGAAATCCATCATCAACAATACCAGAAAAGTCCACCTACAACACATTAAAGGAGAAGCTGCTAAATTAAATAATCCTCAGGGAAAGATGGAATAGTAAATAAGATTTTTATAAAGGAAAATTTTATATCGGGAAGGTCGAATTTTGATTACCATAGCTTGGCCGAGGCCCAAGACATGCCATCTATCAGGCAAGGAGGAAGAAGATTGGGTGTCATTCTTTACATGCTCTTGATGGGCTTCATCATCATCATCAGAATCAGAAACCCCTAATTCATCAGCTTCAAGGGCAGAGAGACTGTCACTGTCAGCCGAACTGTAATCTGCTGCAGAAGGGTCGGCATCGGTGCCACTGGACATAGAAGATGAATTGGAAATGGAATTAATTGGAACAAAGGCAGTGGAAAGATGAGAATGGAAAGGGGTGCGTTTAAAATTAGTTGAAGAGCCATGACAACAAAAGTAGGAGCAGGGATTGGCTGATGATGAAGAAAAAGATTCTGAGATGGGAAGCTTTCTGACGAGTGGTGATGAAGAACTGGATGAAACAGAGATGAGAGAGAAAGACATGATAATAACCAACCAACTAACTACCAACTTTGCTATCTGTTACTTTTAGATGGTTGAAGCTATTTGTTTTAGGAAGATTTGTCACGTGCTCACGTGTTCTTCAAAACAACTCAGAAAACAATGACGCCTCATCGACTAAATATGCATCACATATCGCACCGCCAACTCTGAAATCATTGATCACGTTCCGTTTTAACTTTCGAAGGTGCCTCTATTTTCAAGGTATCAGTCAAATTCCAACCATAGTGCACCTAGAAAACAATTATTGCTTTTAGATGTGAGAATAAACCAATAAAATAGGCGTAGAAGAAAAGTGATATTTCATCCGAATATTTCTAAGCCAGTAAAATGAGAATATTATATGGCTTTTAGAGAGGGAAAAAAACATAATAATCTCCATATTTGATAACATTCAGGCCCTGTCAAGAACAAAAAATCCTTAAACCATCCTGCAATAAACATTCAGCCAGGGAAAAAACCGGATATCACAATTCAGACAAACTAAGATATGGCCAATTTACATTCAGCTCATGAAAAATCACTAACATAATCACTAACTAAATCTGAAAAAAAATCAACTAAAAATCATTAACATCCAAAGAAAAGGATAAGAATACCATGAACAAGCACTATGCGAAATCAAAATTCACCGTCCAATTACATCATACTTTCAAGTTTCATCATTGTGATGACAATCATACACACTCCTGGAAAATGCCTTGCGCAAAAGCAGTATACTATACCCATATTCAGTGAGTAAACAAAGTTCCTTGTACCTCATTTGAATCTAATCCGCCCATGTGAAAAGGATATTACAATTCAAAAACGAACTAAAATTCTAAGATACTGTCAATTAACATTCAGCTCGTGAAGTTCACCAACATAAAGAACCCCTAAAATCATTAATTAAATCTAAAAAAAAAAAAACTAATTAAAAAACAACAACATTCAGCCTTTTGAAGATTATAGCTTAACCTCACCTCTCGAATTGAAATTTCAGGTGGTCAATTGAGGCGGGTCGCGTTTGGTGTGACCGTGCCGCCGTGGGACGCAGCCTGCGGGAGAAAATGTGGAGGTAACTGGCGAGGCGTGGCCGAGTGAGATATGAAGCAAGTGTTATCTTGAGCGTAGTGAATGAATTGACTATTGAGGGTGACTAATCTCTTCCCCCTGCGGCTCGTTTGTTTGCCATATAGGATCGGATTACGCAAGTTATCAACCCATCATTTATCAATGACAGACCATTTCCTCTCCTTGGGGTGTTGGGTTATGTAATCCGTCCATTGTAATTATTTGTAACCGAGCTATAATATCTATCGTTTCGAAAAAAAAAAAAATCTATCGTTTCGAAAAAAAAAAAAATCTACGTAAATTAATTGAAATTAGTTTAATAATTAATATCCTCGGTGCCCGTTTGGTTTACATTTTTAAATTGAGCCTGATACCATAAAACCTAATTTCTCCATGATATAATGTAATTTAGTATAACATTCGTGTATTACACGTGTGTTGCTAATTTTTTTTTTAAAATTTAAAATTAATGAAAAAAAATTGTTGAAATTTTAATTACTTTATATAAAAAAATATATATTATTATATATTTTAGTATGACATTTGTTACTTATGCGACTTACCTGTGTTATTTTATAATAATTTTTCAAACTTATAACATATAACTATATTAAACATAAATATATTAATTGAGAATAATTTTATTTTTTAAATTAATGTTAATAAATATTATTATTATTACAAAATAAATATAATTTATTTATTTTATATATACAATATGGATGTCAAATCGAAACTCATCAAAAGATGCTTAGTTTGTTATATTATATATGTAAAATCGATAAGAATTACAAGAGTCATCAACTTTTAAAATACATTTATAATTTAATAGTTATAATCGAAAATGATATCATAATACAATTAATACATCTAGAATGATCATAAATAAATCAACAATTTATGGTAATCCGTACCCAATTGTTTTTGGATGAGAACTAAATTAAAATCTATCTAAGCCAAATAATGAAGCATGAGATTTTGACACCTAAAATTCGAAGCACGCGAGACTGCCACGTAGGCTCAACACATTCTGAAATTATATATAGGGAATTGTCTTTTTATATATATATATATATATACATGGATATCCAGCCCAATAGCTAAACACATGTTTAGTTGGCCCAATTGACTTACCGTGAGTTTAACTCTAATTTCATTAACCAATTTAACAAACATTTGGCCCTACTAAGTTCATGAAGAATGCATGAACAATTTAGCAACACGCAAAGCAATCTGATACAAAACCAAAGGTTACAATAAATATAAAATTAGCTGCTTATATATACTACTTATTTAAGATAAAATAAACAATTGTGACAAGAATATGAGTCGCCTTGCTCTCCTCTTCGCGTTTTTCCTCGTTATTTCAAGGTCAACTGCGTGTAATTGCGCGGATTGCAGGGACATTTTCATCAATTTCGGCCAATGCGCGCCGTTTGTTGAGGGACTTACCGAAAATCCTTCTCCTTTTTGCTGCCAGAAAGTCGCTATTCTAAACTCAATCGCCAAGCAAGAGAAGGGTGGGGCCCAAAGGATATGTGAATGCATCGAGCAATTCCGCAAGTTCAATGGCAACCTTAAGTACGACGAGTCTCACATTGAACAACTCCCGGTCAAGTGCAGGACGAGCTTGAGTTTCCCCATCTCGGAAAATATGAACTGCTCTAAGTATATATATACACGTTAACTACTCTTATTCGATTCTCAATTTTCTTGAACCCTGTGTGTCAAAACTTTTTTTTTTTTTTTTTTTCTCATGCAGGATCAAGTGAAAATTCATGATGTACACCCGATCGAGTTCATCATTCATCGTGCTTTATGAAATTACTGAAGAAAGACAACTATGTAAATTAGTCAATATATGAAGATTAATGACGATTATGTAATCCTCATTATGGAAAATTGATGGTGATATATATACAAAATAGTCGTGTATGAAATATAATTTCTACAAAATTGCTCAAGATTTTTGTCTGAACTTTGACTAGGTACAGTACAAAAAATATAAAACGCACACGGCAGTACCATGTTTGAAGCATTGACATGTTTGTTTATAAGGATTACCAAACCTAGTTTGAACATGCGGAAGATGTTTGTTCATAACATATAATTAATATGGTTACCAAAATTATATACGTTGTATCTATTAGAATATCGTAGAGAGAAATTTACTTGAAATAGTATTAAAATTTTCGCTTAAAATTTCAAAATTACGGTCTTTTGTATTTTTTTTTTTTTTGGTAGATGGCAGCTGAATGAAAATTCAAACTTAAAAAAAAAATTGTTATTTTCGAAAGATATTGTATAAACCTTAATTTCAAAAAAAAAAAAAAATATGAGCAATGATTTACTTAAATGCTACGGGTAAATCTGACCAATAATGAGAAATAATTTCGAAAATTTTGTTTCCAAAAAATCTGATCAGTTATTTCCTTAAATTTTTTCGGTCCAACGTGTAAATTTGGATACAGAAATTCGGTCAATCATTTAACGAATAAAACGTTTGAAAATTCTTTAAATCTTTTTCCAAAAAATAATGCCACGTAAATTTTTTTTATTCATATTTATTTTATTTACAAATCCCATTTTTTATGGTCACAACTAATAATTCTTATTTATTTAATAAAAAATGTTAATTTCTTTAATTTTTAAATTTAAGATTGTTCAACTTAATTGAATAATATTTTTGTCAATAGTTATCTAACTATAAAATCTTTTAAAATTTAGAAAGATTCTCATATTATGTAAATTCTTGGTATCTTTAAAATATTAATATAGTGGTCGTCCCGTCGGAGTTTTTTACTTTTTTTTTTATTTAATGCCCACAGATCAATTATTGTTAAAAAAAATTCTTAATCAACATTATCACACCGAATATTACAAATGATTTCTTTTTTTAAATAAAAAAACATTTATTCCTAAATAGGTGAGGATTTGTCATATTATTAGAAATACAACACAATTGTGTGACAAATTTGTCAACAATATACAATTTGTTCATATGATAAATGAGACAATTTGTACATGTTTTTTTAGGTTTAATAATTTGAAGGAAGAAAAGTCTTCAAAACAAAGGAAAGTCAACGGTCATCTTCACAATTTCAAATCGCGTTCTTGGTCAACACTGTTTATAAGTCCCACCGTAAAACCTTGTCCCAAATTATTACACAACACATTTGCTTCGATTAATACGGTAGAAAAAATTCAATCCCTTTTCATATCTGCTCGTCTTTGTAATAAATACTACAAATTAATTCAGCACGATCGATCAGCTTCTGGGTTCGAAGATTTACGCAAAGCGATAGTCATGACAGGTGGAAGAGAGATTCTTAACAAGATGAAGGTTGTTATTTCATCCTTTTTCTTCTGTTTCTATTTTTCGATTTTTCAGACAATTTCATGTGTGAATAAGATTTGGATGATGGGGGTTTATCAGGGTTTTGCTATTCAGTTATATCGCTAATTTAATTTTAATTTTTAATTGATAAAAATTGAGTCTTGAATAGCTAGATCCTTGAGTATAATGGGGGTTATCAGGGTTTTGCTCAAGAAGCGAGTATCTGTAAGACAAGATGGTTCAAAGTGGTTAAATCAGCTCGTAAATCCCTAAAATGATTTTTAAAGCCGAGTGAGCGAACCTAGATATATAAGATATTTAAGATTTGAGTTTATTCTGAGCTTAGTACTTAGAATATTTCGCTAAAAGCTGCGAATAACTCGACGGTGAAGCAAACCCGGTTATGGTAAATGTAACTCAACCTAAAAATCAGCTGCTTGTTTTCAAAAGATAGAAATATCATGTTCGAATGCAAATGCCGACTTATGCTGCATTTAATCAAAATTCGAAGTAGTGCGAGAGGTTTTTTAAATCTTGATAGTGCTTCTTCCTCTTTTGCTCCAATCTCTTCCTTTTGTTTTGAGCCCTTTTTGTGTTTCTCTTACCATTGTTTCTCTTGGGTTTCATCTCTAGCTTACCCCAACTTGCTTGGGACTAAAAGGCTATGTTGTTGTTGTTGTTGTTGTTGATAGTGCTTCGGGTATGAATTTTGCAGTGTAGGCGTTTTAGCCATTTTTGGAACTTTTATTTGCCAAATTTGGATTCTCAAATCCTATCTTCTGTTTGCAAACATTCTCTAGGTTTGGCTGATTTGGCACGAAAACAATGCTTGGATGAAACATTTTATAGCATTTTGAGAAAGTTGGGGTTTTGAGCCAGTGATTCTATTTTTCCCCCTCAAAATAGTTTGCATGTGTTTTCTGATGGAGTGTATATTTTGATACTAATGTTAGCCAGTATCTCATTACAAAGTGCGTACTGCGTAGAAGCAGGCTAACTTTTCTATTGAAATTCCGAGGTTTGATAATGGCACAACTCTAGGTGGTATTTGCCCGCGAAACAAATCGTTTTCCATTCCAATTTTGTGCTTACAATGATTTTCTTGCCTTTTGATTTCTAATCAAATCGGCTAGTACAGTTATGAAATCATGTTTTGTCTCCTTCATTTTCCTTTTTTCTATTATTAATAGTTGTTGTGATCGTTTTAATATTACTTTCACTTAAATAAAATACCATTTAGTTTCGAACGCATCCCTGGAAAGTTGTTGAGTACTTTCTTCTCTCATTGTCATTACTTGAAAGGGAGCAGTTGCTGTCTTTTTCGACATTTTCCCTTGGAAAGAGGGAATATTATATTTTTCTTCACTTTCCCCTGACTCTAGGCAATATACAATCAGATAGCTTTTAGGGCTAATATACAGTTTTGCGGGCCAGATATGGTATTATGTGGACCGCATTTAGTTGATTCTTGATAATGATGGTGTTATCGATTTTCATTTGAGGTATAAAAATCTTGCATACGTTACCAAATAAAATCTGTAGGCTCGTGAAAATGGGTTGGTCAACTATTAGTTCGTTTACTTGTCTTTCATTCCATGGTCAATAGTCGAAACTCGTTCTTCATTGGCTAGGATTAAATGGAGATGTTATGCTGAAGTAAGCACCTAGGCTAGACAATTATTTATACGCAGCCAATACTTTCCTTTTTTTTTTTGGCGTTCTGTGAATTCCTATTGGCACCACAATAAAGGCATGTTTTGTAAGGTTGTGGTTAGCGCTTTTAGTGTTAATCTTTTACAAGATTCATAAATTGGTCAACTAATGGTGTTAATTGTAGACAACTGAACAGCAAGTTACACGTGAGCTAATGTTTGGCAAAAGAAACTTATGGTTAAAAGTTAAAACATTTATCGTCGCATAATTGCACATTGTTAACGAATTTGATTATGATTCTCATTTTTGTAAAAATATAGGAAAAGGCGTGTTTTTCCACACCAGTCACACCCGATGCTAAAAAAGGCAAAGCCAAACACTCGAAGCGGATTACTCATGGATCCCATCTCGTGAAAGGAAAAGCAAATCATGCCATGGAAGATTGTTTGGTTTCCGAATTTAAGATTTTGGGCGACAATGAGTTGGGTCTTTTTGCCATATTTGATGGGCATATGGGGCACGATGTTGCAAGATACTTGCAAGACCATTTGTTTGACAATATTCTGAAGCAGGTTATGACATTTTCTTTCTCATTTCCTATATAATGTTAATACGTAAGGATAATTACATGAGTATACCTGGCCCTGATTGGTTATAAATTATCTTTGAATTTGATCAGATAATTTTTTTAACTCAAAATCTAACTCAAAATTGACTATTCATCCTCGATATTATCAGTATAATTAAATAATAATTCCAATCAGTCATCCTCACATCACATCAATTTTAATTCACTATTCATTTATTCACATAATTTTAATTTTTCATCACTTCCAATAACATTTCTCCTATATGTACATCAAATCAACTTTAATCATTATATTTAAATTATATTTCAGCACAAACTCAAAATCCCACTCAAACCTATCCCAATTAACTCTGGTTATCCAACAAAACCAATCAAATCTAAAATAACTTATATCCAATCACACTCCCTAGTGAATTTACTATTGCCACGTTACACAGGAACGCTTGAGGTTTGATTTGCTCTTTAGAATTTTTCCCTTCTTTTTTTTAAAAAAGGAAGAAAAAAATAAATAAATAAATCCTTTATATATTGTTAAGACATAATGAGAACTCTGCTCTTTCTAATTTTGGAGTTTCCTTGTCTCCTTGTAATTATCGGAAGGCAGGGTTAGTTTTTTTGTTATATTCCCTAATACGTATGAAATATCTAGCAAAACCCAACAATTTCATTACGTAATATTTTTACATGATTCATACACGATCCATCAATAATTTGATCATTTTGCATCAACAGAATGAATTTTGGTCCGACACAAAGAGTGCGCTTAAAAATGCGTATGAGGCAACGGACAAGGAAATATTAGAGCAATCGTTCCACTTGGGGAAGGGTGGGTCGACAGCTGTTACCGCAATATTGATCAATGGCCACATGCTCGTGGTAGCAAATGTTGGGGACTCTCGAGCTGTTATATCTAGGAAAGGTGTTGCCAAACAACTGTCTATTGATCATGAGCCGAGCAAGGAAAAGAAGTTGATCGAGAGCAAAGGTGGATTTGTATCTAACATTCCAGGTAATCATCTTTTGGTTTTTTGTAAATTCAACTGATTCAATGTTTTTTGCTTACATGGATAATTTCTGGTTTGCTCATATCAGTAGCAACTTGAACTCCATTGCTCGTCTTAGTAACTGTAATGTGCGGTATTTTGGTTTCAATTTTCCTGAATGCTATAAAGTTTTTTTTTTTTT